GGAAGATGCGGTGGCTAATATCGTTTAAGGGGCTGAAGAGGCTGCGGATGACCTTACCCCCGGGCTAGATACTATTCAAATGGCTAACGAGGCTATTCAAGATACTATTGAAGTAGCCTAGAGCCCCGAATCAATACCTCAATATACACTAGCTGATCAAAGTTTAGCTGAAGACGAGACGGAGACTATGGAGGCCCGACTACTAATGGCATAGAGGCTAGCCCTATAGCTATCACCATTAATACAAATTCAAGGTACTCGAAGGAGTGCTAGAGATAGAAAGCCGTCGCAATTCAAAGACGGCACCCCTACAGACCAGGCTCTAGGAGCCCGCGGTAGCGGGAAAATGCCTCCATCGTTACACGTGGCCATGGAATACTCATTCTTCCACACTTAGACTCCATCGAACAAGAAACCACTTCTCCGAACAGATATGCCTACGGAGCTAAGATCCTGGAAAGAGATGCTTCGTTCTAACCATAAGAAGCAGTGGCTAGAGGCAAGCGTATAAGAGGTTAATACTATTGAAAATATGGGTATAATTGAGTAAGTCCCCTTCGAATCGGTCGACTAGGAGGTATATAAGGTTCTCGGGTTAATATAGGTCTGGAAATACAAGGTTGACTCTACCGGCTACGTGACTAAGTTTAAGGCCAGGCTCTGCGTTCGAGGAGACTAATAACCCAAGAATGAGATAGAAATATATACGTCGATACTAGTAGCTAAGACGTTTAGGACGTTGATGGCTATCTGTGCAGAGTTTGACCTAGATACGTACTAGCTGGATGCCGTTAACGCCTTTCTAAATGTATACCTCGACGAGATAGTCTACGTCTAGGCAACTCAGGGCTAGGGTCTTATATAGGACATGTAATAGAAGAAAGATGCTTCATAGAGGTGCACGATTTTCAAGCTAAAGAGAGCCTTGTACGGTTTGCGCCGATCACTACTTCTCTGGCATAAGCTGTTATCCGAAGCTATGCGGAAGATCGGCCTTATAGCTCTCGAGGAAGATAACTATGTTTTTATAGGTAAAGGCATAATCGTATTCTTCTACGTAGACGATATTATTCTTATAAATCGCAAAGAGGATCGCTAAGCGGCTGAGGAGCTAAAGAATTAGCTTAAGTCTCTATTCGAGATGCGAGAACTTAGGGAGGTTAGATAGTTCTTAGGCATTAGAGTGATTAGAGATCGTAGCTAGCGTAAGCTCTGGCTATCTCTGGAGAACTATATTATAGAAAAGATGAAGGACCTTAACCTCTAGCTATCTACCAGAGGGCATTTAACACCTTTGTTATTAGATCCGGCACCTGCTCCAAAGGACTATGAAGCTTCTGCTAAGTCCATTTACCTATACTAGCGTAAGATTAGTTCTATTAATTATGTAGCAACTATAGTACGACCTGATGTAGCTAAGGCTGCCTCGAGACTTATAGAGTCTCTTCTTAGGCCGATAGAAATTCATTATCTTGCGGTAGATTACTATCTCCGTTACCTCTATCGTACGAGGACCCTCTCGCCGTCCTACGGAGGATTAGGAGACTATTCCCTATCGCTGTATTGTGCTAGCGACGTATTATTTAGCGATGATCCCATCACTAGATTCAGTTCCCAAGGATATACTACTATGCTCTTTGGAGGCCTAATTAATTGGAAGGCTACTAAGTAGCGCTCTATGGTCACGTCTAGCACCGAAGCTAAGCTGGTTGCTCTTAGTATTGCGGTAAGGAATTATATCGCTACTAGTCGCCTGCTTAAGGAGCTTTAGCTACGTTTTAGTGGCGAGATTCCGATCTAAATGTTCTTTGATAACCGCTAAACTCTATCGTTACTTACTAGCGAAAGACCCCAAACTACAACGAAACTTAAGCACGTTAATATCCATCGTCTTTAGATCCGATAGATAGTTAGATAGGGGAAAGTCTCCGTAGACTAGGTGAGTACCGATAAAATGGTAAGCGATGGGCTTACTAAGATCCTTATAACTTAGAAGCACTAGAACTTTATTTAGCTCCTGAATATAGAGTACGTGCCTGCGGTCTATTAGTGAATAGCGGGCTCGACTTTGGCCGCCTCCTTGACTGACGTACTTATGACTAGCTTTATAAGTGTATTTACCTAGAGAACTTTAACCGTTTAAAAGGGAACTTTACTTACAACCCGAACCTTCAATAAGTTATTACCTAACCTTCAGTTATCCAGATGGTCAGAGATAGGCTCTCATGCCCATCTGAGGGGGTGTGTTGCCGATCAGGCATAGTCCTTTCTACGACCCAGGGGTACTTACCCTTATAGGTCTGCAGAATCCTCATTTAACGCATTCATTCTCTAGCTATCGCCCCGGTAATTTTCAATCCGGTTCACGTTGATTGGCAACTGGCCAATGGTCGTCCAGGAGTGACTGCAGGAAAGTCACCTTTTGTACCATAACAACAACATTCAATCCACCTTGTTCAAATTCGTGGTGACAGGAGGCTCTGTCGGCTACATAAAAATAACGAGTCCAGAAGAGCGATTGGCGATCGAGAAACGAATAATTGCTCTCCGCGCCATCCGCAGTGGAGCCATTTCTGTCATTTGATTCATATTGAGCACCTAGCATGTTGTAAAAAAACGTGTGTATCTTGCTTTACCTGGTAGGTACGTAGTAGGTACCTACTCAAGTCACCTAGGTAGGTAAGGTTGATGCCATACGATATCTTGTCATTGGTACACGAAGGTGCCGTTGGTGACAGGCCTCTGGTCAGTGTGACAGTGGGGGCGCCCGTAACCACCGAATAATTGACAGAGCCAATAGATCCATGAGATGCCACGCGCCAAAGCTCTATTGTGGGGAGTCTACCAGTGCTGTTGACTACCTAAGCAACTATATCTCGCAGAGCGCACTCATCGCGATTTGCCACGGCAAGCTGGCTCATACTTTCTCAGAGGAATCCTGGCAGAAATGCTCTGGAATTATTTGACAATGCTGAATACAAGAACTAGCACAACTATTCTCTGCCTGTCGACTCCTTCGTATTCTCTACTTTGTTTCCGAAATATCTAATCGAGTACCTCGAACTTGAGACGTCCTTCTTCTTCCCTCTTTTTAAGACGTACGAGGGGAAGCAACTGCCCTCGTTCGCCATTTTCGACCATGTCGCCCAATTAATCGGTTGAGTATAGTTAGGTTGATGGAGTCGAGCCGCTTGAATAGTATAAGCCTGGTGGCTACCACCCTATCATGATTAACGACTTACTCCACGGTCGCTACCGCGTAGTAGATAAGCTAGAATTTAGTGGTTACTTAACTATATGGCTCGCTTAGGCCGACTAATTGTTATACTATGTCGCTATTAAAGGCGGAGTCTCTGATCTAGCACTCTCTCGACACAAGCTAAGAATTCTACGCTAATTAGCTCGCCCAAGATCAGCATCCTATCCTGCCCTAATAGGTATTAATACTTGTGACGCCATACCAAGCATTTTGGACGAACTCGATGTCCAAGGACCCAACGGGATATATACATGCTATGTGATAGCTCTTGTATAAGGAAATTTAAAAGAGGCATCTTTTAGTCGCCTTTTTCCTATTCAGGTGGCTCGGGCGCTTACTGCAAAATTGACTATGGCTATTACCTTCGTCCATTTACGCGGATACGTCCATGGAGGTTTATTTATTAAACCGATACTCAGCTAAACAAAAATAACTATTTATAGATTTATATCTTTAGAACGTCTCGGTCAAGCTATTATCGATATTTGACTAACTCACGATCGATTAGTTTAGGCAGAAGTATGGCGAGCCTGAGACTATTCCTATTACCCGCATTAATAGAGGGCCTCTCCCGCCCAATATACCGCCTCGCGCCGTAGTGCCCCTGTACCTCGGGAAAAAAGCTCAAGATCTTACTCTATTTAATGCGCGTAGCCTTGTTCTCAGCGACTTTAGGGAGGCATTCGCACCAGGCATAGAGCAGCGTCTCGGGAAAGACTATAATACGCCCTGGCAAAGAGAGCACCGGAGGCTCTTTTTGAACCTGATAGGCCGCTATCGTATTCGTTAGATATATGGAGTCTCGGGACTGCTATCTGGGAGATCCTAGGTATAAAGTTCATCGTCAGCGAGTCAGAAACATAGGACGAAATTGTAGCTTAGTAAATCGACGTCCTAGGTTCCTAAGGTTTTCCCTCGAGCTAGTGGAAATACTGGGAATAAGCGAGCATAGCGGAAGTAGACAGGAAAGGAGGAATACTATATCGGCCCGTAGGAGATCGGGAAGCTTGGCCTCCTCTCGAGGAGGCGTTCGAAGAATTTGTGCAAAAATATAGAAGGAAACGAGAGGTAGCTAGGACTTTTGAGGATGAGGAGACGCGAGCGATCCTTGACTTGATGCGAGATATGCTCAAGTTCCGGCTGGAGGAAAGGTTGACGATAGATAAGGTACTTGAGTCTGAGTGGATGCGCAAGTGGGAGTTGCCTCAGTTAGAGTGACCGGCAAGAAGCAATACTTTTACTATAAAGGGTTGAAAGGCAGAAGGAAGTGAGGAGAAGAGTGCCAAGGTATCAAGTTTGAAATGTCAGCGGAAAACACACCGCGACGAGACGGCTCTCCAGTGCTATCTCGATATTTCAAGACCAAGATACATTGTCTTACAAAACGCAAATGCGTCTCAACCTGTCAAAGGCGATCGAAAATTATTTGGTCAAGGTTCAAAGAATTGGGAGGAGGTTTAAAGTTGGGAAGCTTGGTAGTTGGGGAAATTGGCAAGTGGTGTCTACTTTATCAATAAGAGTCCTACGAACTCACTCCGTGAAGGATGAAACGAATTCAATCCCTGCGATTGACATCGAGAAGTGTCGTCTGAATAGAGTCATACGGAGCTCTTGGTAGGGGTGCAATGAGTCACATGCATGTTATAAAGTTTCGATGAGTACTAACATCGACACCCAACGTCAGCATCTTAATCTTCTCTACGTATCTACCCCGCTCCATTCCCCTCATCCGCCTTGCAGAATGGCCACCAAAGATGCCGCGCAAAATCGACAAGGAGCCCAACTCAAAACACCCAAAGGCACCCAGAACTGGGTTGGTCAGGATCTGTTACTGCGTGATCACATTTTGTACGTGTTATCTAAATGATCTCGCTAAATCCCTTTCGTTTGCTAACCCATATATCAGCTAAACAATCAGCGACGTACTTAAACGCCACGGTGGAATACCTTTGGATACGCCCGTCTTCGAACTTCGAAACATTCTATCTAAGAAATACGGCGAGGATTCACGGCTCATCTATAACCTCGAGGATTAAGGCGGCGAAGCCTACTCCCTGCGATATAATCTCACCGTTCCCTTTGCGCGTTGGCTCGCTATGCGTAGTAACGTTCAGCATATCAAGCGGTACCAGATCGCTAAAGTATATCGCCGTAACTAGCCTGCCGTCTCCCGCGGACGCCTTCGCGAGTTTTACTAGTGCGATTTCGATATCGCGGGTGTCTACGATCCTATGATCCCCGACGCTGAGATCCTGCGCATTAATGCTGAAGTCTTTAAGGCGTTCGATATAGGCATTACTATTAAATTGAACTACTGTAAGATCTTGGATAGCTTGTTCGCGGTGGCCGGGGTGCTAGATAATAAAATTCGCCCTATCAGCTCCGCCGTTAATAAACTGGACAAGATGTTATAGGACGAAGTGAAGAAAGAGATAATTGAGAAGGGCCTTTCCGAAGAGGTTGCCGAGCACGTGGGCCATTATGTATAGCGTAGTAGCGCTATGCGCGAGATGCTTGCTAGTCTAGAGGCAGATACTAACCTAATTATAAACCAAAATATCGAAGAAGGTATCGCTAACCTTAAACTGCTTACTACTTATATAGAAGCTATAGGCGTAGCTTCTAAGGTTTCATTCGATCTATTACTCGCGAGGGGTCTGGATTACTATATAGGTCTGATCTACGAGATCGCCCCGGACCGTACCGATGGCCAGTCCACCTAGGTCGGAAGCATTACTGCCGGAGGTTACTATGATAACCTGGAGAGGATATACGGCCGACGTCCCGTACTATGCGTAGTTATATCATTTAGAATTAATCGGATCTTCATCCTCTTAGCCGAACGACGTAAGAACAAGAAAGCCTCCGAGCTAGGTCGCGAGGCTGATGTCTATATTATGGCCTTTAGAGGCAAGGAATTTGAAGGCCTTTTAGTCGAGCGTATGGAGGTGGCTCGATAGCTCTAGGATGCGGGCATTCGTGCCGAGTTCGCTGCCAAGGTTAGGCCTAAACTATAATAGCAATTTAATGCCTCCGAGGGCGTGCCCGTCGGTGTTATACTCGGTCAGGGGGAGCTAGATGCGGGAGAGGTACGTATTAAGCAACTCCACGTCGGGGACAGAAATGCTATATAGAAAGACAAAGCATAGCTAGTTGCACGACAGGATTTGGTCGAGGCAGTGAGAGCATTGCTGGCGTTGAGCGTAAAGGGATTATGAGGATTTGGGTTCCTTGGTTATGCTAGTAAGCTTTTCGATAGACTGAGATTTATGTACTGTCACCGTTGGGTGTGTTATCTTTCATGACCTGTATTAGATATGAAGAGAGGAAACAGAGAGAGTTGACGAATAGAGTGAAGAGGTCTTTCGCAAGTGGTATCCCCAGTCATTTCTTAGGTATAGGATAGAGAAATATCTGAAATCCGGCCCACCGCAGTTAGAGGGCCCTCCGTAACCCCTATATATACGCCTCCATGGTCTCAACCCCCCTAGACTAGCCCCTGAGGACCCTCTTGTTCCAAGGCTTCGCAGGTGCTTCCTGACGCAAGGCGAGTCACATGGCAGAGTTGATACGAAGAGATGTTTTAGAGTATATGTCCTTTTCAAGAACGTACCTCTGATAGTAAGATGGTTAGTTGGGCCGCTGCAGGTATATTGCATGTTATAACTGTAATAACTTATTTCGATTTTATGTAATATGATATCTTATGACTTGTTTCTACTGAACAAAGATGCCATGTTACCTCTAGATTGCCTTCAAGACACCTCCCCTTAATCGCGATGCTCATGCACGGTGAGTAACCTCGCCCTGCAGCTCCTCTTTCTCAAACGCAGCCTTGACGACCTTACCCAGGGCCGTAGTGTTAGGCTGATATGACTTGAACTTCCGAGCGGGGACCTGCTTTATGAACATCTCATCCAGCTCCTCATATATCCTTCCAGCCGTCTCGGGGTAATAGAACCATAAGAAGACGAGTGAGATGATGGCTAGCACTCCAAAGATATAGCTGATCTTCGCTCCTAGATTTAGATAATCTAGGTTAAAGAGGTACGGAAGCATAAACGAGAATATCACGTTTAAGCTATTCTGTGCTGCGAGGCCGATAGTAATAGTCTTAATGCGGAGGCGCGAGGTGGATACTTCGCAGAGGATAGCGTATACCGTAGCGCCGATAGTGGCGTTATACTACTAGCAGTAGATCAGAATGAAAGCAACTATCGCACGAGCTTCAGGTCCGCCGGGCTCGCGATCGGCGAAGATGGCCAGGCTTCCTGTAGCGAAGAGGATGATGGTCAGGACGAAGAGGCCGTAGAAGGTAAGGCTACGGCGACCGACGCGATCGATCAGCTACTAGGATATAACGTTGCTGATGGTCGATAAGACTTGTTAGGTGATCTGAGGCTTAAAGCTCATGGTTGTGCTATACCCGGCTCGCTGTATATAGTAGGTGCTATATCTAGCTACGAATATAACGCCGCTAAGGGACTAAATATAGAGGGGAGCAATGGAGACGATGGTGCGGCGGAGGTTGGACTTGCGAAAGTACTCGTGATACGTAGCGCTTACGGTCTTAGAGATAACCTGTGCCAGGGTGTGCTTGATGGCGGCAAGACGCTTCTGACCCTCGTCACCACGGTGCCCGAGGTTATTTAGGGATTTGAGGGCCGCCTCGTCACGGTCCTTGGAAGCTAGCTACCAGGGTGATTCTGGCATAAAGGCTATAAAGAGGGTTATAATGATAGCAAAGCCGTATTATGCGACGAAGATAGCGCGGTAGGCCCATCGGTTGGGAAGGTCGCCCGTCTCGTTAACGATGAGGGCGACGATGAGGGGTCCGATAGTGTATGATAGCGTAGATAGGCAGGTGAATATACCGCGTAGCGTAAGAGGGGTGACCTGAAAAGAGGGGCTTTAATTAGTATCATGCTTCTAAACGCGCACAAGTTCTAGCTTATAAACGAACCTCGCCGATGTAGGTCACTGTAACTCCCTGGATAGCGCTAATAGAGAAACTATTAAGCAGCTTGCCTCCTAAGAATAAGGCGGGAGTCGTGGCTATAAGCTCTATCGTGATAGCACCGTAAGTAATTATAAGTGCTATCATGATGACCTTCTTACGGCCGATCTAGTCTACAAGCTGCCCACCTCCTAGAGCATCTATAACGGCCCTGGTAACGGGGTAATGAGTTAGATTTAGGAATAGCGAGGCTCTCTTAGGGGTCCGGAAAGACTTACGTAGCGATAGGGGCACCGTTGAACGCAGCTTGCCACGACGTATCGATGATATGCTCGTCATTGAACTAGTGGCTAAAGTCCTCGCGGAATTTGGGTATGCCGAGGATAACGCCGGCGGCTTAATTCTCGAAGCTACTAAGCAGCACTAGAAAGACAGCGTAGAGATACTATAGGCAGGACTTAGGGAAGCGCCTGAAGGATTCGCGCTTGCCGATGTCGTGTTCGTCCTAGTTAGCGAGGCGGGCGAGCTAGTCCGTCACCTCTTCGTCAACTACTATATCGGGTCATTCTTCTTGTCGAACTCCATGATAATGCCTGCCTGCTTGATTTTAAGGACAAAAAGAGAGTCGGGCAAACAACTGTCGGCGATGATGATCTCCAAGAATCAAGACACCATGGTAGTGAGGTAAGTCCATATATCACTTGTTCCGAGCACTGGTGCCAACAGTACAGACATCCTCATACAGAATTTCCTTCGCAACGTCAACTACCACCACTCGCCACCTTAGCGCTTAGTTATGGGGGAGTTTACTCCAAGTTCCCGGCCCTCTCTTTCTTGGCTGGCTAGAGCTTTATAGCTCCACGTTCACCAACTTCGATTGGGTTTCTGCTGGAGCAAGGATTTCGGGGATCTTTAGTCTATTGGACATAACGTGGCTGATAAGCAAGTCGCGCATATAACCGATCCGCGCATTTTCCATGACACCCGTCCTGATCGTGCTCAAGAAAAAAAGAAGAAAATGGGGGTATGACTCCTGTAGATCACAAGGGATAGCGCTAACCCGATCGCAGCCTCTATCCCACTTCCGAGAGTAAGCCAACATGCCTGCGTTGTCCATATTGCACAGAAGGCATCACACCTGAAGGCTTTATTTGCACCAGATATAAGAACGTCGAAGATGCTGGCATCCAAGCGTAGTCAGTTAGGAGGGAGGAGGTGAACTCTTGCTGGGGAGCATCCAACCATAGTTTGAGCGCGATGAATTGATTGAAGGGAAGCGCTTTAGTGCGGGGTGCATGTTTTGGGCACCAGCTATGGAGTGTGTACTCCAGATGCAGTGCACAGGTTTGGGTACCCCAACAGGTTACAGATACGACGGCTTCCAGCGATTACGCTACCTGTGCGGCCTTCTCATGCAATCAGACCGGAATTAAGACGGGTGGGAAATGCTCGGTGTGTAGCCCAGTCAGACCTATGAATGATATCAAAGCCTAGTGTGCGAAAGAGCACCTCATGAAGTCTGGGACTATTCTGCTAGGGAATGCCGTGCCGTCCAACTAGGTGGGACTTAGAGACTCTGGATCCGTGTCCTTTTTTCTCGGAAGTTTTCCTGCAAAGGCAATATCATAATGGATCGCAAGTGGCATGGATGGCAATTCTTTGAAGCCTTCTGCTCATGAAGGCCAGCGATTTGCATAAAGGAGTACCCTTTTGAACCTGGATCTAGCACCCGTAGGTTTGTGCATGGAGGCCGTCACTTATCCCCAATATTGGATCAATCGAGCCAGGACAACAGTGGAGTCCGAGCTACCATGCAGCCACGGTCCGGACCGAAGCGCTGTCGGCTGAGTGGCCTATTTTTCTCCTCACCACCATAAGACGAGACACCCGTATTGCCTCAAAATCATGGTCGAAACATGGGTCGCTAGCGGAAAGAGGTAAGATCGCTGAGGTGTGAGATTTGTTTCGTTTGTCCGAAAGGTTCGATACCTCCTCTGTGGACGTGCGAGTAGAGGCATAACTCTCTGGATTTCATCGACCTGCGCAGACTTCATAACACCCTTTAACTGCCAGTCCCTATACGCAATTATGAAAGCATCTTCATCAAGTGCCTAGCTTCCCGTACTCTAAGCTTAATTTAATTAGCTAGCCTCGAGATATACTTTACTATAGATCGTAACTCGATCGTAAAGAGCTCCTTTCCTAGCTTTTTCACTATTTTTCGCTTTATCTTCCGAGCCTAGCTATTAGGACTGATCGGGCTAAGGGGTTGGCGACTATAGAGCTCCGCCCGCTCTAAATCCACGATTATGACTCTACCACTGCCTCTATTATATAGTATATTGCGAAGCTTCCCGTCGTTATAGAGGACGCTTAACTTATATAGCTCCGTGAAGGCTACGGTAACTATATCGATAATAGTCCGCTTATCGATCTAGGCGTAGTACCTAAATAAAGGCCGCCTAGCCTAGCTAAGAAACATAAAGTGCTCAAATATACCGCCATCATAGTAATATAGTAGGATCAGATCTATCCTACCGAGATATACCGGGACGTATTTCCCTTAGATAGACCGGACTCGATCGTATATATCGCTCTCGTACTATAACCGAGCGAGATTAAAACTCTCTACGCTTTTAGCAACGAGCGTATAGCCGTGGGAAGATAATCGCACCTTAAAGAGCGACCCTACTGCTCCGGACAGGTAAAGGGGTACTTAGTCGGCATCGGGGCTACGGTCTTTGGCAAGCTGAGCGCAGATGAGACGCAGGAACCCTGGTCGGTCGATATACCTGGGTCCGTGATTTTCAAAATTGGGGCATTTCTTGTCCATTACCTGATGCTGCAATGTCTCAAGCCAGGTATGAAGGTTCTGCTTGTTTTCTGGTCGCGTAAGAGCAGATGCGCTGAAATATTCTCGGAGGCTATATCGTTCCTTCTCGGTAGAGTAGGTCCCGTGCTTAGAACGAAAGTCCTCGTTCTAGTGTGAGTAAGCGTAGCAATATTCAAGATTTGGAACATTTACGGGGATCCCCGCACTAGTACTAATGCCGGCACCTATGACCACAATGACCCTCTGGGCCTATTTGCAGAGGCGCGCGACTTTCTAAGACTCTCCTGGTCGTGAAGCGTTAAGTGGATCATCTTGCTGAAATAAGAGATCGACGAAGGCAGCGAATCCGAGAGAAGGCAGGTGCCAAGATGCAAGAGGTGGCACCCTGGCGCACGAACCTCTGGCCATCTGGTTGGCCTCATGGTGAGGGGAAACACAGCGCCGTTTCTGTCTTCCTCGTCTTCATCACCTCTACCTCCAGCTTTTCGGCCTCCTACCACCGCCCCTGGCTCCAGTACGTCGACGCCAGGTTGGCCATCCTGGTCAGCGTGTCGGGATGGTCGGGCCCGAGCTTCGTCTTGCTCGTCTCCATCACCTCTACCTCCAGCTTCTCGGCCGCCTCCCACCAGAGCTTCCGGAATGCAGCGGTCAGAATTCTTCCGGGAAAAAACATGGAGGTGAAAGGGGAGATGCTCATAATCGGCCGCCATGCCTCGAGGTAAACAACCAGACCGTTCTGCTTATATCACTTAGTTCCGCAGCTTCCACTTCCAATAGTCCCGCAACCGTCGCCGTATAGTGCCAGACAGGGACAAGGAACGATATGCCTAAGAAGTTGTCCTGGCGTATCCTGCATGAGGTCACCACGGTGTATTATCGTAGACCTGCAAACCTGCCAACGCTATCTGTCGGCTGTCTTGGTAGAATTTGCGGAAGTCGTTTTGGTCGATCCGAGTCGAACGTGCCCGTCCCGGCTGTGGCACTTGGGGGCTGTTCTGGGCGTTCTGTGAGACGGAGTGCGCAAGGGTCGAGCGAAAGTTGGTGCATGGGCCGCACAAATCCCTGTCCTTCAAGGTAGTGCGTGCAAGGGCGTGGCACTACCTCTCGCCGAGCCTGACTGAATATATTAACAGCAAATCGTGTTCGACATTCAGTGTCTGCTCGGCAGGCCGCCGAACACGCATCAAGTCCTGGTCTCCTAAGTTCTGAATCTCTCACCTTGCATATTAAAGCTCCAGATGTTCCACATACGCCCGATCCCATACAGCCGGGAACCTGGCTTTTGTCGAGCGCCCCGTCTGTGGTGTCATGGATCCCCGACTCATATACTGTCGGAGCGGTTCGTGAGTGTACAGTTGGCGCAGATGGATGGCAGCGGGCGGTTGGTTGGTGTGGCGGGCAAGCGGCAAGTTGTGGCAGGTTTACCCGACAGCTGAAACCGTGCCAAGCAATGGCCACCCTCAGCTCAGCAGGTTTCACAACCAACGTGGATTTGCGCGCGAGAAGCTGTTGGGGATGACTAGAGGAGGTCACAAGAGTCTGGTCCACCGTAGGTAGGGTCAGTCAGGGGGGCATCCCGGGCTAATGGGGCAGTCACTCAGCCGCCTTGGAGTGTCAGCACTAACCGACACCGTTTATTCCATCCGCCCTCCTCATTAGGCGCCGGCTCGTCAGCTCTTCTGCGAACCGTTCCTCTGTGCCAGCGAAGTTAGATTTACAGATAACCATCATTTTCGGGCTCGCTAAAAGCTCTCCTTGACCGTTATGAGGCCTTATCGCAAGCTTCTAGCTGCCCCCGCGAGCTGCGCGGTAGAGCCCAACTCGCAATCGCAGGCCTCGGAAACGCTATCTGTATGCTCCAGCTCAATTTACAAGAAGCGCGGCCGTCTGACGTTGGTCGCATGCTTCATGTGTCATCATAAGCGAATCAAATGTGACGGTCGCCGACCTGCTTGCTCCGCCTGCTCCAACGAGAGCCATCGAGCTGCGGAAGGATGTCACTACGGCGTCGAGCCAGGCGTCACTCGGAATGCCGCTTTGAAAGAGGAAAATCGCGAGCTCCAACGCCGTGTTTCTCTTCTTGAAAACTTTCTTCGACTATTGACTCTGCGAACCAAAGACGATTCGATCGAAACCATCCGTTGGATGCAGAATATTGATCCGGATCAAGACATTGATCACCTTGTCAACGTCACCTCAACCGATGATCTGCTTCACCCACGAACCATTGGTCAAGTCAGCAACAATGCCACTGCGCCAAAGATTGAAGTAGCCGATAGCTTTGTCTTGCCCGGGGTAGAAGACTCAATTGACAGAGCAGATTCCTTGGTCGAAGATCTGTATGGTTACATGATTCTCTCATGTTACATCAGGGGACTGACGAGCTACAGTTTCACCATCATTGCGAAGCTCGACCAGCTATCGAGGACTTCAATCATTTCCGAGCTCAGGCTACTCATCTGTGAGACGGAGATGGAGGACTGGGCAGACAACATTCTCATGGAAAGCCAGCGAATGGGTTTCACGACTATGGAATAGCCATCAACGTAAGTGACGAAGCTCTGCTAATAACGTAGAGATGTTTGCGAGTCCCTAAGCGCCAGATATCGCCGGGCTGATCGTATCCAACGCCTTGAAAGTAGGGTCGCCTCGTGGATACTCGTAAGGGAGAGTAGGAAAGTAGGCGTCGATGGGCCGCAGTTACTGATGACATGGCGCCATCATATATTCACAGATTGGAAACGTGGGGCCTTAATTCCATTGATCGCCTATAGCAGATTATTTTTGTGTATCAATAGCCAAACCACTTCAAGTCTCCTCAATCTGTCCTGTTCGTTCATTCCTGCAACAAATATGCGCCATCTGACGGCCTTAACTTCGTTCGTTTCCCACTCGGAGACACATATGGCGTCTCTATTGCGGCGATTAATCCAGACACTGTTGGAAGACTCTCGAGGGAATCAACATATAGCTGCCCGGTAAACATACTCGAGAATTATACGATAACCTGTCCTGGATGGAGGCAGCAATCGGAGCGAAACCGAGATCCCTTATGGTCAGACGTCGTAGAGGATAAGTACGTGTATACATGAAGG